AGTCTACCACAGAGTCATAAAAGGTCCTGAGCAGAGGCCTGCTCACTCCGAAGGACCTCAGCCTCCTCAGAAGGACCTCAGCCTCCTCAGAAGGACCTCAGCCTCAGTAGGACCTCAGCCTCGAAGGACCTCAGCCTCCTCAGAAGGACCTCAGCCTCAGTAGGACCTCAGCCTCAGAAGGACCTCAGCCTCCTCAGAAGGACCTCAGCCTCAGTAGGACCTCAGCCTCAGAAGGACCTCAGCCTCCTCAGAAGGACCTCAGCCTCAGTAGGACCTCAGCCTCAGAAGGACCTCAGCCTCCTCAGAAGGAAGAGGTGTTCAAGCACAAGTGGTTGCACTCACACCAGTCGACAAAGTCCTTGATAACCGACCGATATTCCAGTTGGTTCCCCTCAGACACACAGCCCACGATGGCGGAGTCGTCGGAGAACTTCTGCAGGTGACAGCTGTGTGTGTCGTGTGTGAAGTCTGAGGTGTAGATGGTGAAGAGAAACGGTGAGAGGACAGTGCCCTGAGGGGCCCCAGTGCTGCAGACTACCACCTCAGACTCACAGCTGCGCAGCCGCACGTACTGTGGTCGGTCTGAGAGGTAGTTGATGGTCCATGCAGTGAGGCTACTGTCCACTCCCGCGTCCTCCATCTTCCCCCGCAGCTGTGCCGGCCTGATGGTGTTGAAAGCACTGGAGAAGTCAAAAAACATGACCCTCACAGCGCCCCCTGCGGGCTCCAGATGGGAGAGCATCCGCTGCAGGAAGTAGATGACGGCGTCCTCTACTCCGATGTTGGGCCTGAAGGCAAACTGTAGATCCAGGACTGAGGCTGTAGACCCAGGACTGGGCCCGTTTCCCATATAGTAGCGTAATGGGCCTGCCAAAACAAAAGCGGGGCAGGACGCGGCTTCAGTGAGATATTAACAATCATTCCTTATTTATTTACTTCTAAAGTTTATTTACTTCTATAGAGGGATGAGTGCTGCGGTGGGTCTCTAGACCAGGGATGTCAAAGTCCAATGCATCAGAGGGTCAAAAAACTCGATTCACTAAAAACCAAGGGCAGGACTGGTTCAATATTTATTAGAACATATTAAAATGATTACATATAATTTAACCAAGACCTAACACAGTGTGCTGTATTTTATTTATTTTTATTTTTTTATAGACGAAAACAAACTTCCTTCACATGTCCTGAAAATGAAATGAATAATCAAATATTTTCTTATGGCTCGGTGCGGGGCTGGTTCAAATATCATCCCAGTATCAGAACCACAAAACGGAAGGACTCAAAATGCAACGACTCCAGAAGACTTTTAATACAAAATAAGGCTTGAAGGCTTAAACACAGGGTACAAGACAATCTGGCACAGAAACAAAGAAACAGGGGGTTTAAGTACACTGGAGGGAGTAGGGACCCAGGTGCAACACATTAGGGCGGGGCTGGTAATCACAGGAGTGAAGGCAGACAAGGACCAGGAAGTGAAGAGTACTGCAATGAGACACACAAGGTAAGTACAAAATAAAACAGGAAGCACGGTCTCAGGGCTGGGGTGTGACAGTACCCCCTCCTCTAGGGCCGGCACCGGACGGCCCAGGAACACCAGGATGAAGCCGGTGGAAGTCCTGAATCAGCTGTGGGTCCAAGATATGGCTGGCGGACACCCAGGACCGCTCTTCGGGGCCGTACCCCTCCCAATCAACAAGATACTGCAGACCCCGGCCACGACGTCTGACCGCTAGCAGTCTTCTCACTGTGTATACCAGATCACCATCAACAACACGGGGAAGAGGCGGCGACGGGGTTCGCGGAACAAGTGGGCTCTCCTTCACGGGTTTAATCCTGCTCACATGGAACGTGGGGTGCACTCTCATGGTCCTTGGCAGTTTCAGCTTCACGGCTACAGGATTGATGACTTTGGAAACTGAAAATGGCCCAACAAACCGAGGGGTCAACTTACGGCTTTCGACGTGAAGTGGGAGGTCCCGGGTCGACAACCACACCTTTTGACCCACGTGATACTGTGGGGCTGGACTCCGACGATTGTCAGATGATTTCTTATAGACCCCCGACTGACGCAGAAGTGTCTGTCGGGCTCGGCTCCAGATCCGACGGCAACGGTGAACAAAAGCCTGGGCTGCGGGCACACCCACTTCTTTCTCCAGGGCTGAGAAAAGTGGGGGCTGATACCCATAAGCACACTGAAAGGGAGTAAGACCATGAGAAGCACAGGGGAGTGAATTGTGAGCGTATTCCACCCATAACAGGTGTTTACTCCAAGACGTAGGGTTCGTCGAGACCATACATCGCAACCCTTTCTCCAGTTCCTGATTCAACCGTTCCGTCTGGCCATTGGACTGGGGATGGTACCCCGAAGAGAGACTGACTGAGGTCCCCAAGAGATTGCAGAAGGCTTTCCAAAAGCGGGAGGTGAACTGGGGTCCCCTATCCGAGACAACATCTCTCGGAAGTCCATGTAACCTGAACACATGCACAAGAACAATCTCCGCCGTTTCCTTAGCGGTGGGCAGTTTAGGCAGAGGAATGAAATGGGCCATTTTAGAGAATCTGTCCACAACAGTGAGGATAGCAGTGTTACCTTCAAACAGAGGGAGGCCTGTTACAAAGTCCATGGATATGTCAGACCAGGGGCGTGCTGGAACTGGAAGAGGATGGAGATGACCAGCTGGGGGTTGGTTGGTCGACTTGTTCTGAGCACAGACAGGGCATGCGGCAACATAGTCCTTGACATCCTTCTCCATGGCTGGCCACCAGAATCTCTGTTGCACTGTAAAAAGAGTCCTTTTGACACCTGGATGACAGAAAAACTTAGAGGTGTGGGACCAGGTGATCACTTGAGAACGAAGGTCAGGGGGTACGAACAAGCGGTTAGGTGGACAGCCGGATGGAAGAGGCATGTGCTTAGTAGCCTGCTTAACATTCTCCTCTACTTCCCAGCACACTGCCCCAACCACACACGTAGAGGGCAGGATAGTCTCTGGAGGTTGTGTGGCCGATGCAGTCTTAAAAATGCGGGATAGGGCATCTGGCTTAGCATTCTTTGAACCAGGGCGATAAGACAAAGTAAAATTAAATCTATTAAAGAATAGGGCCCACCTTGCCTGTCTGGAATTCAGTCTCTTGGCAGTACGGAGATACTCCAGATTTTTGTGATCGGTCCAGACAAGGAATGGGTGCTCGGCCCCCTCCAACCAGTGCCTCCATTCCTCCAGCGCCACTTTGACTGCCAATAGCTCCCGATTTCCAACGTCATAATTCCTCTCTGCAGGAGACAATTTGCGAGACAAGAATGAACAAGGGTGGAGCCTACCGTCCCCCGGACTGCGCTGGGAGAGGACGGCACCAACCCCAACATCAGATGCATCAACCTCCACGATAAATTGCAAGTCCAACTGTGGCAAAACTAAAACAGGAGCACTGACAAAACAGGTCTTTAGCCTGTGAAAAGCTCGGTCGGCTCGGGGCGTCCAAAAAAACGTTGCTTTAGAGGAAGTGAGTGCATGTAACGGGGCGGCTATGGAGCTAAAATTTCTAATGAACTTTCTATAGAAATTAGCAAAGCCCAGAAATCTCTGCAATTCCTTGCGACTACCAGGAACAGGCCAGTTCTGGACTGCGCTCACCTTGTCAGGATCCATGCTCACCTCCCCCTCAGCCACCACATACCCCAGGAAGGACACTGTAGACTGGTGGAACTCACACTTTTCCGCCTTCACAAACAGCTGGTTGTCCAGAAGACGTTGGAGAACACGGCGGACATGCTCGACATGAGACTCGACGGTAGGAGAAAAGATCAGAATATCATCAAGATATACAAACACAAACACATTAAGCATGTCACGTAGCACGTCGTTTACTAACGCTTGGAACACTGCAGGGGCATTCGTTAGGCCAAATGGCATGACTAAGTACTCATAATGGCCACTAGGAGTATTAAACGCCGTCTTCCATTCGTCCCCCTCTCTGACTCTGACAAGATGGTAAGCATTCCTCAAATCCAACTTGGTGAAAATCTTAGCGCCTTGTAACAGTTCGAATGCAGAGGAAATCAGAGGGAGGGGGTACCTGTTCTTGATGGTCACATTGTTCAGACCCCTGTAGTCGATACACGGACGTAGTGACTTGTCCTTCTCCACAAAGAAGAATCCAGCTCCAGCGGGTGAGGAAGACGGGCGAATAATCCCAGCAGACAGGGAGGCTCCAATGTATTCTTTCATTGCTTGTGTCTCCGGTTTAGACAGGGAGTAAAGGCGGCCTTTAGGGGGAGCAGTTCCAGGCAGCAAGTCGATGGCACAGTCATAGGCCCTATGAGGTGGTAACGAGGTGGCCATGGCCTTGTTAAAGACTTCCTTAAGGTCATGGTAACATGAGGGAATGCAAGACAGATCTGGATAGTCATTTTCAGATATTTTAACAGGACTAGGTCTTTTCTCAGGAAAGCAGTTGACACAGTCGTCTCCCCAGGCCTTAATGAGACCAGCGACCCAGTCTATGTGGGGATTATGCTGTAACAACCAGGGCAGGCCCAGGATTAAAGGGTGAAGGCAGGAGTGAAATAAATGAAAACTTAGGGTCTCTGTATGGCCATCAGGAAAACTGAATGTTACTGGGGTGGTGTGATGGGTAACTCGCCAGAGAAGTCTGCCGTCCAGCGCAGTGGCCACCAGGGGAGTAGCAAGGGGCACAAACTCCAAACCCAGACCTTTGGCTAGGTCGATGTCCATAAGGTTAGCATCAGCACCAGAGTCCACCATCACCACCTGTTTATGAGGGGCACAGAGAGAAGTGATAGTCACTGTGAACGTGGGGTGAGAGTGGGTTTTACATAATTGTGTACGGCTCACCAGCACCCTCTCTTTCACTGATGAGCCCCGCCTTTTACCGGACAGCGACTGGCAAAATGTCCCATTTGCCCACAATAGAAGCATCGTCCTTCACGAATACGACGCTGTCTCTCCGCTGGAGTCAGGTGAGTACGACCAAGTTGCATGGGTTCTTCGGGTGGGTCAGACGACTCAGAGCCAGAGAGAGGCAGAGACGGCCCAGAGGAAGCGTACCAGGATGGAACAGAGGTGGCGCCTGGATTACCTCGACGGTCTGGGTTGAAACGGAACCTCTCCCTCTCCCTCTCATAAATGCGCTTGTCAATCTTAATTACCAGGGAAATAAGTTCATCCAAATCGTCGGGCAAATCCAAGGGGGCAAGCTGGTCCTTTAATGTACTGGAGAGACCATGTAAAAAGGCATCAATCCGGGCAGAGTGGTTCCACTCACTCTCTGCAGCTAGTGTCCGAAACTCAATGGCGTAATCAGATGCCCTGCGTCTTCCTTGACGCAGACTCACTAGGGCCCTGGCCGCCTCCCGTCCCGGAGATATATGTTGAAAAATCTGGGTGAAAGATTTTATGAACTGGTGGAGATTTAAACACACGGATGAATCACGGCTCCACTCAGCTGTTGCCCAAGCCTCAGCACGACCAGATAGGTGGGATATAATGTAGGCAATCTTGGCACGGTCAGAGGGATAGGTCAATGGCTGGAGCTCAAAGTGAAGATCGCATTGGGTGAGAAAAGCTCTACAGTCCCCAGACTCCCCAGAAAAGCGTGCCGGCTGAGACAAATTTGGTGCAGACACATGTACAGGTTGGTGAGTGGGCTGAGGAGCTGCTTGTAGTGGAGCTGGACTACTCGCCTCTTGAGTAACTTGGATAGCAGCATGTGGGGGAGGGGCCGAGGTGGTGAGGGCTTGTATAGCTTTGGTGAGATTATCAAATTGCTCACCAATTGCAGTCTGAAGATCCGAAAAATTCTGTGAAACACTCTGTAGCTCCTGTTTCACGGCGGCAAGTCCTTGTTCCTGCTGAGAAATCATCTGTCCATGAACACGCAGTGCGTTTTTAAGCTGGTTTGAGTCGGCTGGGTCCATATTGTGGCCAGATTGTACTATCAGAACCACAAAACGGAAGGACTCAAAATGCAACGACTCCAGAAGACTTTTAATACAAAATAAGGCTTGAAGGCTTAAACACAGGGTACAAGACAATCTGGCACAGAAACAAAGAAACAGGGGGTTTAAGTACACTGGAGGGAGTAGGGACCCAGGTGCAACACATTAGGGCGGGGCTGGTAATCACAGGAGTGAAGGCAGACAAGGACCAGGAAGTGAAGAGTACTGCAATGAGACACACAAGGTAAGTACAAAATAAAACAGGAAGCACGGTCTCAGGGCTGGGGTGTGACACCCAGGGCCAAGATAATTCATTTGTGGGCCGGATCTGGCCCCCAGGCCTTGACTTTGACACCTATGGTCTGGACACTAAGGACAAAACATGTATATATAATATAGCGTATATTTATTTATTTTTGAGGCTTCCTCTGTCGTCACTAAAGGGCCCTAATCTGTCATCCTTAAAGGGCCCTAATTTGTCATCATTAAAGGGCCCTAATCTGTCATCATTAAAGGGCCCTAATCTGTCATCATTAAATGGCCCTAATCTGTCATCATTAAAGGGTCCTAATCCGTCATCATTAAAGGGCCCTAATCTGTCATCATTAATGGGCCCTAATCTGTCATCATTAAAGGGCCCTAATAAATCATCATTAAAGGGCCCTAATCTGTCATCATTAAAGGGCCCTAATAAATCATCATTAAAGGGCCCTAATCTGTCATCATTAAAGGGCCCTAATCTGTCATCATTAAAGGGTCCTAATCTGTCATCATTAAAGGGCCCTAATCTGTCATCATTAAAGGGCCCTAATCTGTCATCATTAAAGGGTCCTAATCTGTCATCATTAAAGGGTCCTAATCTGTCATCATTAAAGGGCCCTAATAAATCATCATTAAAGGACCCTAATCTGTCATCATTAAAGGGCCCTAATCTGTCATCATTAAAGGGTCCTAATCTGTCATCATTAAAGGGCCCTAATCTGTCATCATTAAAGGGCCCTTATCCTTCATCCGAAAAGGGCCCTAATCCGTCATCCGAAAAGGGCCCTAATCTGTCATCATTAAAGGGCCCTAATCTGTCATCATTAAAGGGCCCTAATCTGTCATCATTAAAGGGTCCTAATCTGTCATCATTAAAGGGCCCTAATAAATCATCATTAAAGGGCCCTAATCTGTCATCATTAAAGAGTCCTAATCTGTCATCATTAAAGGGCCCTAATCTGTCATCATTAAAGGGCCCTAATCTGTCATAATAATAAAGTGCTCTTTTCCAATACTTCTTTAACTGATAACAGTAGTTCAGAGATATTTGAATTTCTAAATTACTTTTCCAGCCCCTAAATCTTGTTATTGTTTTCGATATCCCGCCCTCCAACGTTTCACCAATCAGAAAGTCTGTGATCCGGGCGCCAGAACTCACCGTGTGGAGTTTATCTCACTGGTAAAGTACCATGTGGCGCAGAACTGAAAAAGGTCTTGTTATTCATAACATGCTTGAGATATTTTATTGTATCAGATGAACTCACATTGTTTCCACATGTTCAGTTCATTTACTTACATTTGTTTAAAACCAGATCAAGTTGGGCCCAGAATTCTGCGGCCCAAAAGAAGTGGACTATTGCTAGTACTATCACTGAGCCTGCACCGGCAGCCTGCGCCTGGGAGCCTGCACCGGGAGCTTGCACCGGGAGCCTGCACCGGGAGCCTGCACCCGGGAGCCTGCACCGGGAGTCTGCACCGGGAGCCTGCACCGGGAGTCTGCACCGGGAGCCTGCACCAGGAGCCTGCACCGGGAGCCTGGACCATGAGCCTGCACCGGGAGCCTGCACCAGGAGCCTGCACCATGAGCCTGCACCGGGAGCCTGCACCGGGACGGTTATTGTCACAGCACTCACTGGACATGTTTGAGGAGTTGCTGAAGTTAAACTAAATCGTGTTAGTCACTTTTCTGCAGGTTCGTCTGTTTTCACAAACACCTTTTTCTCAGCATTTTTGTCTAAGACTGGTGATGTCACACTGCCCTCTTTTCCACTGGAGATCACAGGAGAATGAAAAACAAGCTAGAAACAAACTTGTTTTTTGCTGCTGAAAGTAGACAGTCCGGTCCTTCAGACTCTGGTTTCATGTTCCACAGTCGTAGCACACAATATTCTGTGAGTCTTCAAAATGGCCGACGGTCGAAGAGCTGTGTTAATGTCATGAGAACTATGGCCTCATGTGGCTTTGTGTGAGGTTGTGTGTTGATCCATTTTGCCAATAGGAAGCGTGGCCTTTGTTTACAGTTGGGGATTTCACTGGACTATTTACATGTATGGCTTCTCAGGGACAAGATGGAGACAGCCGGTGTGGACTATGGCCTGTCCCAGTGGATCCTGGACTACCTCACAGACAGACCCCAGTTTGTGAGAACCAGGGACTACGTGTCTGAGGTCCTGACCTGCAGTGTGGGGCCCCCCAGGGGACTGTCCTCGCGCCGTTCCTCTTCACCCTCTACACTGCGGACTTCAGACACAACACGGACGGTTGTGTCCTCCAGAAGTTCTCTGACGACTCTGCCATCATCGGACTCAGCTCCGAGGACGATGACGCAGAGTACAGAGGAGTCATACAGGACTTTGTGGACTGGTGTCAGCGGAACCACCTCCTCATCAACGCGGGGAAGACCAAGGAGATGGTGGTGGATTTCCGTAGACGCCACTCTGCCACTCCAGCCCCAGTGAACATCCAGGGAAAGGACATCGAGAGAGTGGACTCTTACAAGTACCTGGGTGTTCATCTGAACCACAAACTGGACTGGACTCATAACACAGACGCCCTCTTCAAGAAGGGCCAGAGTCGTCTCTACCTGCTGAGGACGCTTAGGTCTTTTGGAGTGCAGGGGCCACTCCTGAAGGACCTTCTATGACTCTGTGGTGGCATCAGCCTCTTGTACGGTGTGGTCTGCTGGAACAGCAGTATCACAGAGAGGGACAGGAAGAAGCTGGACAAGGTCATCAGGAAGTCCAGCTCAGTCCTGGGCTGTTCCCTGGACACAGTGCAGCAGGTGGGGGACAGGAGGGTCCTGAGCAAACTAACATCTATGCTGGACCATGACTGTCACCCCCTGCAGGACACTCTCTCTGCTCTGGAGAGCAGCTTCAGTGACAGACTAATTCACCCTCGCTGTGTGAAGGAGAGGTTCCGTAGGTCTTTCCTTCCTGCTGCTGTCAGACTGTACAACAAACAACTGCTGAGCCTGTAAATCTCATTCATCTGTAATTAAGTAAATTCTTAAATCATGTGCAATACTGCAACTTCAGAATGTCACTTTACCTCATGTCACTTTACTTATATACTTTTTATCCTGCACTATTTAACTGTACAGTATATAACTGCACTACTACATATATATATTTTTGACTGGTATTGAAGCTTTTTCAGCATCTACAGCTAGTTATGTTAGTTAAGAAACATAGCTACTACTTATTTGTATATAGTGTATATATTGTGTGTGCTCCCTGTGTGCTCTTACTACTGTCCTATATGTGCGATGCAACACCGACATTTCCCCACTGTGGGACGAATAAAGGAATTCTTATCTTATCTTAAACAAGAGGGTTACAATCTGATTACTCTTTCTTTTCTCACCAAGTTAAAAGAAAGTCTGAAATGATGTTGTGTGGGCTCTTAATATCGACCTCTCACCATCGACTACTTGACATGTGGATTGTGCAGAAAACAGGCAACTAAAAGAAGGTTCCTACCTGAGGATAATCAAAATAAAATACAATAAATATACTAATAATGCTAAAATAAATATTAAGGCAGTGAGAGAGAGAGACGATAGGGACGGCAAGAGAGAGAGACGTATCAAATGTTCATTATAGACATCATTAAAGACTTGACTCCATTTAAAACTGCTCAAATAATGTTCAGGGCAAAACTCTCTCCACCGAGTTAGAAAACAGCGTTCCATCAGCAGCGCCTTAGAGAAAACAAACAACTGTACTTCCCTAAAACTAGAACTACTTTAAAATCAAAGTGTCTGATCTATGTGACTGATGAAATTAAAACATGTTCAAACCTGATTCAATTCAAAAGAGAAAAAAAAAAGAAAGTGAAGAAGTGCAAAGAATAAAGAGAGTGCTCTGTGGCAAAAGTGATCAAATCCCTGTGTGTGTGCGTGTGTGTGTGTGTGCGTGAGTGTGTGTGCGTGCAGGTGTGCTTGATTAGGTGTGTGTCTGATGAGCTGAAGGCCTTGAGTGTGTTTTCCTCTGTCTCCTGTGAGTTTACAGTTCCTCTATTTCTGACATTTTAACACAAACTGATGTTTTAATTTTGGGCAGAAACAGAAACACAGACATGTGGGTCCCAGCGGGATGGAACCCAAACATGTGGCTCAGAGAGGGGCCCCTGCTCCTGCTCCTGCGACTGTCCAGGGCCTTGACCCGAGACCCGGGCCCTCACCCTGCTGTGACTGCAGACTCATGGCGACACCCATGGATGACGGAGCCGCTTTTCCACTGTCTGCACTGGGTCGGAGAGATCGTGCTACTGTTTATTCTGGAAGGTGTGATGCGTGGCTATGCAGCAGGAGAAGGGCTGTGGGGCTGGGCCCTGGTGCTGCTGCAGACTGGGGGTGAGTATGGGGGAGAGAGGGGGTGATCCACGGGGGAGACCACGGCCCTCTGCACTGATAAAGCTAGGGTTAGTGATGTGCTGAGCGTGCCGGGTCTTTGAAGCGTGTACTGAGTAAAACGGGCGGGGGTTTTTTTTAAGCGTGGTTCGAGGCGTGTGTTGGTGACGTATGTGATGACGTTCCAAGCCTCGCGTAGCGGCCGCACCACGTGACGGTTCATATAGTGCTTCATATAGTTCGGAGAGTGCATTGCTTTGACAGGTGCTTTGTGATCCACGGCTGTACCATAGAGAGTGTGTGTGTGTGTGTGTGTGTGATGTAGAGCAGTCCTGCACTAAGTATAGAGAAACTACTTCATATCAAATGCAGTTAAAAACGTTTCACTTTAGTAAAACCTCATATATCCAGGCTTGCCTTAATGTCACAATGGTTTACTTTTAAGTTAGTCCTAATAATACGCTGGATAATATTTTACATAACAGCTGTGTGGCGCAGTTGGTAAATGCTGGACTCTGAAGTAGAAGGTATATAGTTCAAGTCTCATTCTACCCGTAATCACTTTTGTGTAAATTGCAAAGTAAATGTATTTATTTATTGGGAATAAATTGTTTGTTGTGTTTAATTAATCCACCTCTTGGTAGTTTTTCCTCAATTAATCACTTTCTGTAGAACTGTATTACTTTGGATGTGTTTGTTGTATCAACACAATTGACTGAAAGACTCAATTAGTTCATAGTTCATGAAGCATCATTTCAAACACAACACGTTAGACCATCGATTGTAAATATACATTTTAATATTAGACCCCACTATTCATTGTAAGCACAGAGTGTTATGTATTTTGTCCACATGATGGCGTAGTGGAGCATGAATCACCTCGAGCCTTTGAACCATGGGCCGAGTAATAGGCTGCAAACCCTCAATGCATCATGGGCCTTCATATTGCCATCACTAGCTGGGGTACCTACATTTTGCTCATGAATAACAAAGTCAAAGTCAGATGTGAACAAATCTGGGCTCACCCTGCATCTGTTAGAAACAGGTACTTTAGAGTAAACATAAGGGTCACTATCTGCCTCTTTGGGCTGAGAGCTGATTGGCTGAGAGTTTGGTCCTCTTTGATCTATGGATGTGACATAAAACAAACAGTTTGAGCAGAACTAGAAACACGTTTCACTGAAGCTTTAATGATGACGCTTTAAAATAGTGCAGGTGTCCAAACTGTGGCCCGCGGACCAAATGTGGCCGTCTGTGCCGTGCGGTGTTGGGAGAGACGTGTTTCCAAAGTAATGACTGTCTCTGAGCTCAGACTGGTCACACTGACGTCTAGTGGACAGTTGTGATCAATGCAGAACAGATATTACTGATCTGTTTAATCCTTACATTCAACACTAGTTTGTTTAAAACTATGCACTTGAACGTGAGTTTGAATCCCAGTGAGAACAGGACCTTTCTGAGTGGAGTTTGTATGTTCTCCCCATGTCTGCGCAGGTTTCCTCCAGGTGCTCAGGTTCCCCCCCTCGTGGCTCTGAAGCTCAAATGTAGAGGACACTTTTCTCCAAATACAGTAAAACTGAGAAACAAAGATCACAGGGTTTTATTAAAAAGTCAGTTTCAGTCACTTCTTGTTTCAGCAGCTTTAAACAAAACCTTGTTTAGGATCAAAATGATTCCAAAGCAGGGGTCTGCGTCCCACTGGCAGAGGCCTCAAAGTCTCAACACTGTACAACTGTCTGCTCATTGATGCATCATTTATGCTGTAGCACGTTAGCGCTGTTAGTTGCTATCCACTGAAAGCTGTCAAACAAAGGACACTGCAGTACCTCAGTTGGTAGAGCGTTGGCCTTTGAGCCAGAAGGTCGTGGGTTCAAGACTTTCACCATCGACTCCCACTGACTACTGTCGTTGTGTCCTTGGGCAAGACACTTAACCTCTGGGAACACCAGCCACAGTGGGGCGGCTGTAAAGTGCCAAACTGCCGTTGTGTCCTTAGGCAAGACACTTCACCCCCATTGCCTAGAATGAGTCTGGTGTGTGTGAATGGTTGGTGGTGGTCGGAGGGACCGATGGCACATACTGGTTGCCTCGCTTCTGTCAGTGTGCCCCAGGGCAGCTGTGGCTACAGTAGTAGTTTATCACCACCGTGTATGGAGTGAATGAATAATGACACATGTGAAGAGTCTGAGTTTCCAAAAAAGCGCTATATAAAACTGATTTATTATCAAAACATCCATGATCCAAACACTCTGAACCAATGAGAAGCCGGGAAAATCATTGAGCCAATGAAACGCTTCGTGACACTGACAGTTTTTGAAGTTGGTGTCAAGCTAGAAAACTGTTTAATGCCCAATCAATGACCAACAAATCTAATTTTATTTCTGAACATATGTATATATGACGAGACACATGATGTAGTGACCTACTCCATGGAAATCCCTTGGAGACCTAAACCACAAAACTAATTCTATTTCAAGGGTTCTAAATAGTATTTGACACTGTCTCCTTGAACCAGGACACAGACCTCCTTCAGTCTACAACAGCGATAGAATCTGCCAAATACTGTAGTTCTAGTCTTCACAACATTCTCAAGTCTCATGCGCTACTAAAAACCAGGACTGTCTCGTTTGCTAGATCCGCAATTCAGACGAGCTACGGCTGGTCTCTCCCTGGACCAGCTGTACGTTAGCAAAGACTTATGGTGCATAAACTCTTATTGTGACCCTTACAAGGCCCACTCAAACGCTCACCATGGAACCTCACCAGGTCCATGGTCTACTCTCGGAACATCACAAATGACACGGAAACTCAAACCAGCCGTTTTCTCCAATGAACTCGCTGCTAGGGTCTCACTGTGACATCAGTGACAAACGCTCTGCTCTTCTTCCTGCAACAATATTCTTGTTTTTATTGTATTTTAATATGTAGCACTTAGAGGTTTTGTCGTAATGTAAGGTGCAATATGAATTACATATTTATCGTTGGCGATGACAGAGGTCACACGTGTCTTGTGTTTTCACATTTTGCAGGTATTTTAGATGGATACTTTATTGATGTTTCCACCCCCATGTGTTCTTTAAATGCAACTCTGCATTCTGTCTCGCCATGAGTTTTTATCAAAAACTTCCACTGTGGATTCATCTGACCACATTCTCCCAGTCCTCTGCTGGATCAAACACTTTCTAGCTCCAGACACTCCTGACCTGGTACTGGTCTTAGCAGGGGACGCCAGACTTACTGTGAAGCATGAACGAATGGGAAAGATGAGTCGTTAGCAGTTATTTTTATCTATGGTCTCCTCCTCCTGGATCGCCTTCTAAACCTTGTTCTCCTCCACAGTGGCCTTTTGCTTCAGCCTCATCCTGCTCTGTCCGACTGTTGTGGTGGAGCTCCTCCTACTGGACGTGGGCTTGGGCGCGGCCGGTGTCTCTATGGTCTTGAACTACTTTGTGCTATTTGTCTGGGACCTCCATGGGACCTGGGACCTCCACGGGACCTGGGACCTCCTCGTAGGCCTGCCCCCCGGCTGGGTGTGGCCGTGTCTGGGCCTGGTGCAGCTGTTACTGGGCCTGATTTTCTGTATCACGATCATAGTGGACAGAGTGAGCCCCTTCGGGATTCTGCTGGGGATGGTGGTTCCTGTGCTCCTCCAGTACCTGGGTGATCCTCTTATGCCTCAGCAGGTCTTCTTCTTACTGATCCCGGTCCTGATCCTGATCACGTTGGACTACATGCGTTCAATGAATTGGTGAGCCAAGGATTTGTACTTGTCATTTTTAATCCTCTAAAGCCTGGTCTCCTCCTCTTCTAAACCCTGGTTTCCGCTGTTCAGGTACAATGGTGAAAGTTTTGACCTAAAGCTGATCTTGAGGGTCTGGAGTCGCTACTGGATCGTCCGTACTTTGGTCAAAGCTCTGATCCTTCTGTACAGCCTGCAGGTGGGGGCCGCTGGAGGTGGGGGGCTAGCAGCACTTGTAGCCAGTGATGGTAGAATGTCGGGGTGAAGACGTACGTTCACAAGCACTGTGTCCCCATCGGTTTAGTCCGGTTTTTATCCTGGTTTAGCTCTTGTTTTGGTTGTTTCCACGCATCTTCTTGCTCTGCCCGGCTTTTGTCTAGTGACCACTTTGCTGCTCTGATTGGTTGTCGATTGGAGTGAAGAAGTTGAGTAAATCTATTCTCCTAAGTTTGCCGCCGTACCCATTGCTGAGCCACACAAGTGCTTCCTTCCGCCGCCAAACATGCGAGCCGCAACGTACTTGCAAATGTTTGTACAGAAGTACGTCCCCATTGACACTTGCTGAACGCCCCACAAACAAGCTAGGCAACGTTCATACTGTAAACAAACAGGCAGAGTGCATCCATGTATCTATAACTGGATAGGGTATTACTAGCTTGTAGGTGAAGGACTCATGTGCTCGTGGGATTCTCGCGGTACTGCAGACAAAATCAGACTAAATTCACGTGGGCTACCCAGAAATTTTCCCCATAGAACTCAATGCATATAATGACGGAGGACCTGACGGAGGACCTGACGGAGGACCTGACGGAGGACCTGACGGAGGACCTGACGGAGGACCTGACGTAGGTCCTGACGGAGGACCTGACGGAGGACCTGACGCTTTGATTTTGTTGTTCCTTGTCATCCTGAACTTTTTTCTTCTTAAATCCTTCGGTTTTCTTTAAATCCACACTTTAGTGCCACAAACTCTGCTCGTCTGGCTCTCGCTCAAACTCCCGCTCTGATCAGCAGCTCTGATTGGTCAAAGCGCGGCCGAGCCCCTCTGTGCACATGCATGAGAGCCACACGCTTATTTGGTGCAAAGCATCATGGGAGCTTGTCCACTGCACAGAAACGGGAGGACCGGATTCTATGACTGGTGTAGTATTCAATTTGAAACGTATTGCAAAAGTTCAGCAACATAAGTACTCACTCTTGCCCCCGTTTCCTGGCCTTCTTTATCCCCTAAAATGCCCAATTAAAAAAAAAACAAAAAAAACAATTTAATAAACAGTTTTTAATAAATCCACTATTTGGTGCAACAAACTCTAATCGTTCTGATCTGCTGGCGGTTGATTAGGTAGAACGATGTCTGTAAATATTGGAACCCGGATCTGAGGTCTGGTTGGTGACCTCTGATCTCAGCCTCTTGTGTGCTCTGCAGGTAAAGGGCAGCTGGCCGGGCCTCTGGGAGGTCTGGTCTGACCTCCTGGTCTCCAGCTGTGACTCTGCGATCTCCGTGATTGGAATGAACGCAGCCTTCACATTAGTGGCAGTGATGCTTAAGGAGTCGTTAATTGGTAACATGCTTTATTTTCAGTTTGCTTTCATTGTTTGGATCGGGGGAGGGGCCTCTATGTAAATATAGTCCAAAGATAATGTTCCTCTGTAACAATGACTTTAGTTAAACCTACTTTGTAACCGTATCAGTTTCATGGAAGGCCAAAGTCTGCTTCATACACAATAAGGCTAATGCTAAGGTGATGTCGCACCGTCGTTCCAATCCTGGTATATGGAGTGTTGGCTGACCTGATGGTTGACTTCAATGTCTGGCTCCACAGAGGATCATGAAATCAATGAAACGGAGCCAAACTCCACAGCTGATCGCACCATCCTCTGGATCGTGGTTCTGCAGTTTGGACTAAACCTCCTGGAGCCTGCACAGAGACTGGTGAGTGCACTAAATTTTAGCTGAATGATTTTAGTCAATCTGGCGTACAAAGTCCTCCATTGGGAAAACCGCAGGAAGGAAGTGGTGGGGACTTCCAAATCAGCGAACACGTTAGCAGTCACTCTAGAATGTTTCAGGGTGAAGACACATGTTCATAAGCACTGACCCCCATTGTCAGCCCTGGTTTAGTCCGCTGGCCATAGATACACAAACTCTTGGATCTGTTTGTCTGTAGGAGCGTCTTCTGCAGAACATGTATCTGGTACTGGCCTTGGTTCTGGCCTACGCTCAGGACGTAATGCAACGGATGCACTGCTCCCAGATAGATACTTTTGGGGTTGACTGGGAACACGGCCTCCTCCCTGCGACGGTCGCGGCTGTGCCCATGTTGTGCCTGCCCCTTTTTCTGCTGCACATCTGGAAGAATCAATATTGGAACATCAGGCTGCTTGCGGCGACTGCCTTCGGTCTCCAGGCCTTTTTGAAGGTAAAGACTGACTATGCTAAACCAGTTTCCATGGTGAAGTTTGGCTCCTATTGACTATGTAAAAGAACAATTGTTTTTATATTATCTGTGTATTGGAACATTCTGACCTCTGTACAGATGCTGGTGGTAATTGTGCGCTTTAAGAGACTTTGGTCCAGGTGGACTCTGCCGCCCCTAGTGGTCACTCTCTGCGCTGTATTGACTATGTACTTTGCGGAAGTGGCCTTAGGCACTTTGATGATTGCAGTCGAAGCCTACGACCTCATGATTGGGTCCGGAAGCGAACGACACTTCTTCCGCATGATTGTTCTCCTCTGCCACGTGGTGAAACCGGTGAGCAGTGTGTCACCCCTGTGTCTGTCTCCGTGTGTCTCTGTGTGTCTGTGTGTGTCTCCGTGTGTGTCCTCGGCATGGTAACAATGTTCCTCTGACCATCAGACAGTGACTGCCTTCAGAGTATTAGAAGACTTCCCGAATTGGAACGTGACGAACTGGGACTGGTTATTGGTGCAGCAGCAGGGTGTGGTGCCTCCGCAGCAGCAGGGTGTGGTGCCTCCGCAGCAGCAGCAGCAGGGTGTGGTGCAGCAGCAGGGTGTGGTGCAGCAGCAGCAGGGTGTGGTACCTCCGCAGCAGCAGCAGGGTGTGGTGCCTCCGCAGCAGCAGCAGGGTGTGGTGCCTCCGCAGCAGCAGCAGGGTGTGGTGCCTCCGCAGCAGCAGGAGCAGCAGCGGCAGGTGGTGCTGCTGACAGAGGAGCAGCTTCAGAACACAGAGGAAGTCTGTTCCATCTGTCTGGACGGGTTCGGCGGGAGAGTCTCATGTGCCACTTTCTGTTCTCACTACTTCCACGTCTGGTGCCTGCGCCGCTGGGTCTTCTTCAGACAGACCTGCCCCATGTGCAGTAGCTTTGTTGCCAGACGACCCTTGCTCCCTCTTCCCCCAGAGGAGGAGGAAGAAGCGAGGGAGTGGGAGAGATACCAAGAAATGATCTTGTTTTTCAACGAGGCCTGGGACTGAGTGGAGATTTGTGGAGGAAAGATGGGGAGAACTGGAGCTTTTGGTGTATTTGGGGTTAGTTTCCAGGATTCATTGGTTCTGGTGAAAGACACAATGGTGACACAAATAATGTTAGAATGACGTGTTTTTGCTCCAGACTCCTGTCGCCGTTTTTATTGTTCTAATGTTCACTGTGGTGGAGGTGGCACCTGGTTAATGTCACATGGTTGTAGCCTTGGACACCAGGGGCTAGTTCTTGGTCCTCTAAAGTTTTATTAACACTGATTTTATGTGTGACTGCATCAGATGTGTGTATTTTAAACACTCTAGACACTGACCCCAGGACTGATGGACTTTCTGATCTGATTTTTAAATCTGCTCATATCAACTGTTGTTCAAGCGACAAATTGTGGTTCCATGTTTTTTTGCAAATAAAGTCTTTAGAGAAACTAATGTGGTCCATTTTGTTTCTGATGCTGCACTAAAGGAGTTTACAGAGCGAGTTGAAGCAAAACATACTTTAATTACATTGCATCCATTGGGCTTCATTGAGCTCGCGGGTGAACTTCAAGATTGAAATCCCCGCTGTGGGACAAAGATTCCCATGTTGCAGCGCACACTGGACCGTAAGAACAGAGGAAGCACACACAATGGGCAGCTGCCTTGTTTCTTGTCTAGCTGTGACTGCTTCAGTACAGTGCCTTGCAAAAGTATTTGGCCCCCTTGAACCTTTCAACATTTCGCCACATTTCAGGCTTCAAACATAGATATAAAAATTTATTTTTTTGTCATGAATCAACAAGTGGGACACAATCGTGAAGTGGAACAACATTTATTGGATAATTTAAACTTTTTTTAACAAATAAAAAACTGAAAAGTGGGGCGTGCAATATTATTCGGCCCCTTTACTTTCAGTGCAGCAAACTCAGTCCAGAAGTTCAGTGAGGATCTTTGAATGATCCAATGTTGTCCTAAATGACTGATGATGATAAATAGAATGCACCTGTGTGTAATCAAGTCTCCGTATAAATGCACCTGCTCTTTGATAGTCTCAGGGTTCTGTTTAAAGCACAGAGAGAACCATGAAGACAAAGGAACACACCAGGCAGGTCCCAGATACTGTTGTGGAGAAGTTTAAAGCCAGATTTGCACACCAAACATGTGGAAGAAGGTGCTCTGGTCAGATGAAACCAATCGAACTTTTTGGCCACAATGCAAAACGATATGTTTGGCGTAAAAGCAACACAGCTCATCACCCTGAACACACCATCCCCACTGTTAAACATGGTGGTGGCAGCATCATGCTTTGGGCCTGCTTTTCTTCAGCAGGGACAGGGAAGATGGCTAAAATTGATGGGAAGATGGATGGAGCCAAATACAGGACCATTCTGGAAGAAAACCTGTTGGAGTCTGCAAAAGACCTGAGACTGGGACGGAGATTTATCTTCCAACAGGACAATGATCCAAAACATAAAGCCAAATCTACAATGGAATGGTTCACAAATAGACGTATCCAGGTGTTAGAATGGCCAAGTCAAAGTCCAGACCTGAATCCAATCGAGGATCTGAGGAAAGAGCTGAAGACTGCTGTTCACAAACGCTCTCCATCCAACCTCACTGAGCTCGAGCTGTTTTACAAGGAAGAATGGGCAAGAATTCCAGTCTCTTGATGTGCAAAACTGATAGACATACCCCAAGTGACTTGCAGCTGTAATTGCAGCAAAAGGTGGCGCTACAAAGTATTAGCGCAAGGGGGCCGAATAATATTGCACGCCCCACTTTTCAGTTTATTTGTTAAAGTTTAAATTATCCAATAAATTTTGTTCCACTTCACGATTGTGTCCCACTTGTGGATTCTTGACAAAAAAATACATTTTTGTATCTTTATGTTTGAAGCCTGAAATGTCTTCAAACATGCCTGAAGGGGCCTGTATCTGTACTTGTAGGGCAGATAATAAAATCAACTTCAGTGGACATTCTGAAATCATGGTATTGACATGATTGCAGTATTTACAGATTAGAACACGTACAGACTCGGCAGTTCTCATTGTACAGTCTGACAGCAGCAGGAAGGAAGGACCTGTGGAACCTCTCCTTCACAGTGAGGGTGGAGCGGTCTGTCGCTGGAGCTACTCTTCAGAGCAGACTGTCCTGCAGGGGGCGACAGTCATTGTCCACAGATGTTTGTCCAGGAGCCTCTTGTCCCTCACCTGCTGCACTGTGTCCAGGACTGAGCCGGACTTCCTGAGGACCTGTTCCAACTTCCTGTCCCTCTGATGCTGCTGCAGACCACACTGTATAAGATGGTAGAGCCTTCTCAGCAGGCAGAGCCTCCTCAGCAGGCAGAGGAGGGTGTCTGTATGAGTCCAGGTCTTTGCAAGAGTCCACTCTCTAAATGTCTCTTCCCTGATGTTCACTGGAGGCAGAAGTCCACCATCTCCTTGGTCTTCTGTTGAGGAGGAGGTTCGTCTCCTTGGTCTTCGGTTGAGGAGGTTCGTCTCCTTGGTCTTCTGTTGAGGAGGAGGTTCGTCTCCTTGGTCTTCTGTTGAGGAGGAGATTCGTCTCCTTGGTCTTCTGTTGAGGAGGAGGTTCGTCTCCTTGGTCTTCTGTTGAGGAGGAGGTTCGTCTCCTTGGTCTTCTGTTGAGGAGGAGATTCGTCTCCTTGGTCTTCTGTTGAGGAGGAGGTTCGTCTCCTTGGTCTTCTGTTGAGGAGGTTCGTCTCCTTGGTCTTCTGTTGAGGAGGAGGTTCGTCTCCTTGGTCTTCTGTTGAGGAGGAGATTCGTCTCCTTGGTCTTCTGTTGAGGAGGAGGTTCGTCTCCTTGGTCTGCTGATGATGAGGTGGGTCCACAAAGTCCCGTGTTAGTCTTCTGTACTCTTTTGTCGTCCTCAGTGATGAGTCATGATGGCAGTCGTCAGAACTTCTGTAAGACACAACCGTCTGTTGTGTCTTAACTCTGCAGTGAAGAGGAACTGAGCGAGGACTGTCCCCGGGGGGACCTTCACACTGCAGGTCAAGACCTCAGACAAAGTCCCTGGTTCTCACAGACTGGGGTCTGTCTGTGACGTAGTCCAAGATCCAGGAGTTCGTAGTCCACTCCTGCCGTCTTCATGTTGTCCCTGAGAATCCGCGGCTGGATGGTGTAAAGCAGGATCCTCAGAGACTTCTCCAGATGAGACGGAGGGTTCTACAGGTGGGACGGAGGGTTCTACAGGTGGGACGGAGGGTTCTACAGGTGGAACAGAGGGTTCTACAGGTGGGACGGAGGGTTCTACAGGTGGAACGGAGGGTTCTACAGGTGGGACGGAGGGTTCTACAGGTGGGACGGAGGGTTCTACAGGTGGGACGGAGGGTTCTACAGGTGGAACAGAGGGTTCTACAGGTGGGACGGAGGGTTCTACAGGTGGAACAGAGGGTTCTACAGGTGGGACGGAGGGTTCTACAGGTGGGACGGAGGGTTCTACAGGTGGGACGGAGGGTTCTACAGGTGGAACGGAGGGTTCTACAGGTGGGACGGAGGGTTCTACAGGTGGGACAGAGGGTTCTACAGGTGGGACCCATGAGTCATGTGACAAACATGAAAAAATTAAATACGCAAATGAATACAATTTTTTAATAAACTGCTCTGTTTTCAGGGAGGCAGTCAGTGTTTCGTCCTCCTGTGTGGGTTTAGGTTCATTGCGTTCAGTCCTTTGACCTTTTATTTATTTGATTAATAGAAACATTATTTATTAGTTATCCCTTCCAAATGTGGGGAATTGTTTGATTCTTAATCCTCCCTGGGTAATAACACCAGTAGTCTAAAAGCGTCTGGTTCAAGCAGTCTCCTGCAGCCATTCAGGGAAAAATGTGTAGTAGAGACGAGAGAATCTTTTACCATGATCTCATTAAGTCTGTGTTTAAGTCTCACCTGGACTAGTTTGGGTGTGTCTCTGTCTCTCACACAAGTACAGGTCCAACTTGGAAATGTGGAATCTGGTGTGAGGCCAACATTACATAAACACACAATATGGTCTCTGGTCTCTCTCTTGTCTCTCTCTTGTCTCTCTCTTGTCTCTCTCTTGTCTCTCTCTGGTCTCTCTCTGGTGTCTCTCTCTCTGGTCTCTCTTTGGTCTCTCTCTCTGGTCTCTCTCTGGTCTCTTTCCGGTCTCTTTCTGGTCTCTCTCTGGTCTCTCTCTCTGGTCTCTCTCTCTGGTCTCTCTCTGGTGTCTCTCTCTCTGGTCTCTCTTTGGTCTCTCTCTCTGGTCTCTCTCTGGTCTCTCTCTGGTCTCTCTCTGGTCTCTTTCCGGTCTCTTTCTGGTCTCTCTCTGGTCTCTCTCTCTGGTCTCTCTCTCTGGTCTCTCTCTGGTGTCTCTCTCTCTGGTCTCTCTTTGGTCTCTGTCTCTGGTCTCTCTCTGGTCTCTCTCTCTGGTCTCTCTCTCTGGTCTCTCCCTGGTCTCTCTCTCTGGTCTCTCTCTGTGGTCTCTCTCTGGTGTCTCTCTCTCTGGTCTCTCTCTGGTCTCTTTCCGGTCTCTTTCTGGTCCAGTGCATTTATGACAATAAGGTCGACTCAAATGTCAGGTTAATTAACCTCTCACTGATTACAATGAGTGAGAATACGAAAATGAACATAGCAGATTTCAAAGCAGACACACGCACACACACACACACACACACACACATACACACACATGCGCACTCACACACACACACACACCTACACACACTCACACACACACACACACACACACACACACACACACACACACACACACACACACACACACACACACACACACAGCAGTGAGAGACCAGAGAGAGAAACCAGAGAGAGAGAAACCAGAGAGAGACCAGAAATCAGTGACAGTCACATGGTGAAGAACATGTTCCAAAAGTAAAGCATGGTAAGTTACAGACATCAGCTTTAGGAGGAGCCAGCAGACACTGTCGCTCAATAACCCGCGCTGTGATTAGCTGTGGCATCGATCTCTCTGTAGTTACATTTTAAACCAATCAGACGCCTTGATCTTCAGAATCCAGACTGACAGCCACAGTCCACTCATCGATACCTCAGAGACCACTCACTGAGACTTGAGCTGGGGACGGGACTTTAAAGCTGGTGGATGGGACTTTAAAGCTGGGGAAGGGACTTTAAAGCTGGTGGATGGGACTTTAAAGCTGGTGGATGGGACTTTAAAGCTGGGGACGGGACTTTAAAGCTGGGGACGGGACTTTAAAGCTGGGGAAGGGACTTTAAAGCTGGGGAAGGGACTTTAAAGCTGGGGACGGGACTTTGAAGCTGGGGACAGGACTTTAAAGCTGGGGTACAGAAGTTTCAGATCATACCAATAGAACTCTGTAATAAAAATATACAAGGGTCTAAAACAGGTCTCTGGTCTCTCTGGTCTCTCTCCCTGGTCTCTCTCCCTGGTCTCTCTCCCTGGTCTCTCTCCCTGGTCTCTCTCCCTGGTCTCTCTGGTCTCTCTCTCTGATCTCTCTCACTGGTCTCTCTCTGGTCTCTCTCTGGTCTCTCTCTGGTCTCTCTCTGGTCTCTCTCTCTTGTCTCTCTCTGGTCTCTCTCTGGTCTCTCTCGCTGGTCTCTCTCGCTGGTCTCTCTCCCTGGTCTCTCTCCCTGGTCTCTCTCCCTGGTCTCTCTCCCTGGGCTCTCTCTCTGGTCTCTCCCTGGTCTCTCTCCCTGGTCTCTCTCCCTGGTCTCTCTCCCTGGTCTCTCTCCCTGGTCTCTCTCTCTGGTCTATCTCTGGTCTCTCTCGCTGGTCTCTCTCTGGTCTCTCACTGGTCCAGTGTAATTATGACAATAACGAAGCAGACTCAAATGTAGGTCTAGGTCCTGGTCCTTGGTCTTGTTTTCACATCATGTGTCTCTGTCAGATCAGCTTTTTCCAACGTGACAATCGGCCAATCAGCTCTCAGCCCAAAGGCTCAGATAGTGACTCACACGGACCTCAGCTTTAAATTCGCCACATTTCAGGCTTCAAACATAGATATAAAAATTTTATTTTTTGTCATGAATCAACAACAAGTGGGACACAATCGTGAAGTGGAACAAAATTTATTGGATAATTTAAACTTTTTTAACAAATAATATTGCACGCCCCACTTTTCAGTTTTTTATTTGGCCCCTTTACTTTCAGTGCAGCAAACTCAGTCCAGAAGTTCAGTGAGGATCTTTGAATGATCCAATGTTGTCCTAAATGACTGATGATGATAAATAGAATGCACCTGTGTGTAATCAAGTCTCCGTATAAATGCACCTGCTCTTTGATAGTCTCAGGGTTCTGTTTAAAGCACAGAGAGAACCATGAAGACAAAGGAACACACCAGGCAGGTCCGAGATACTGTTGTGGAGAAGTTTAAAGCCAGATTTGCACACCAAACATGTGGAAGAAGGTGCTCTGGTCAGATGAAACCAATCAAACTTTTTGGCCACAATGCAAAACGATATGTTTGGCGTAAAAGCAACACAGCTCATCACCCTGAACACACCATCCCCACTGTCAAACATGGTGGTGGCAGCATCATGCTTTGGGCCTGCTTTTCTTCTGCAGGGACAGGGAAGATGGCTAAAATTGATGGGAAGATGGATGGAGCCAAATACAGGACCATTCTGGAAGAAAACCTGTTGGAGTCTGCAAAAGACCTGAGACTGGGACGGAGATTTATCTTCCAACAGGACAATGATCCAAAACATAAAGCAAAATCTACAATGGAATGGTTCACAAATAGACGTATCCAGGTGTTAGAATGGCCAAGTCAAAGTCCAGACCTGAATCCAATCGAGAATCTGAGGAAAGAGCTGAAGACTGCTGTTCACAAACGCTCTCCATCCAACCTCACTGAGCTCGAGCTGTTTTACAAGGAAGAATGGGCAAGAATTCCAGTCTCTCGATGTGCAAAACTGATAGACATACCCCAAGCGACTTGCAGCTGTAATTGCAGCAAAAGGTGGCGCTACAAAGTATTAGCGCAAGGGGGCCGAATAATATTGCACGCCCCACTTTTCAGTTTATTTGTTAAAGTTTAAATTATCCAATACATTTTGTTCCACTTCACGATTGTGTCCCACTTGTGGATTCTTGACAAAAAAATAAATTTTTGTATCTTTATGTTTGAAGCCTGAAATGTCTTCAAACGTGCCTGAAGGGGCCTGTATCTGTACTTGTAGGGCAGATAATAAAATCAACTTCAGTGGACATTCTGAAATCATGGTATTGACATGATTGCAGTATTTACAGATTAGAACACGTACAGACTCGGCAGTTCTCATTGTACAGTCTGACAGCAGCAGGAAGGAAGGACCTGTGGAACCTCTCCTTCACAGTGAGGGTGGAGCGGTCTGTCGCTGGAGCTACTCTTCAGAGCAGACTGTCCTGCAGGGGGCGACAGTCATTGTCCACAGATGTTTGTCCAGGAGCCTCTTGTCCCTCACCTGCTGCACTGTGTCCAGGACTGAGCCGGACTTCCTGAGGACCTGTTCCAACTTCCTGTCCCTCTGATGCTGCTGCAGACCACACTGTATAAGATGGTAGAGCCTTCTCAGCAGGCAGAGGAGGGTGTCTGTATGAATCCAGGTCTTTGCAAGAGTCCACTCTCTAAATGTCTCTTCCCTGATGTTCACTGGAGGCAGAAGTCCACCATCTCCTTGGTCTTCTGTTGAGGAGATTCGTCTCCTTGGTCTTCTGTTGAGGAGGAGGTTCGTCTCCTTGGTCTTCTGTTGAGGAGGAGATTCGTCTCCTTGGTCTTCTGTTGAGGAGGAGGTTCGTCTCCTTGGTCTTCTGTTGAGGAGGAGATTCGTCTCCTTGGTCTTCTGTTGAGGAGGAGGTTCGTCTCCTTGGTCTGCTGATGATGAGGTGGGTCCACAAAGTCCCGTGTTAGTCTTCTGTACTCTTTCGTCGTCCTCAGTGATGAGTCATGATGGCAGTCGTCAGAACTTCTGTAAGACACAACCGTCTGTTGTGTCTTAACTCTGCAGTGAAGAGGAACTGAGCGAGGACTGTCCCCGGGGGGACCTTCACACTGCAGGTCAAGACCTCAGACAAAGTCCCTGGTTCTCACAGACTGGGGTCTGTCTGTGACGTAGTCCAAGATCCAGGAGTTCGTAGTCCACTCCTGCCGTCTTCATGTTGTCCCTGAGAATCCGCGGCTGGATGGTGTAAAGCAGGATCCTCAGAGACTTCTCCAGATGGGACGGAGGGTTCTACAGGTGGGACGGAGGGTTCTACAGGTAGAACAGAGGGTTCTACAGGTGGAACAGAGGGTTTTACAGGTGGGACGGAGGGTTCTACAGGTGGGACGGAGGGTTCTACAGGTTGGACGGAGGGTTCTACAGGTGGGACGGAGGGTTCTACAGGTGGAACAAAGGGTTCTACAGGTGGGACGGAGGGTTCTACAGGTGGAACAAAAGGTTCTACAGGTGGGACGGAGGGTTCTACAGGTGGGACGGAGGGTTCTACAGGTGGAACAAAGGGTTCTACAGGTGGGACGGAGGGTTCTACAGGTGGAACAGAGGGTTCTACAGGTGGGACGGAGGGTTCTACAGGTGGGACGGAGGGTTCTACAGGTGGAACAGAGGGTTTTACAGGTGGGACCCATGAGTCATGTGACAAACATAAAAAAATTAAATACGCAAATGAATACAATTTTTTAATTTAACTTCATACAAATAAACTGCTCTGTTTTCAGGGAGGCAGTCAGTGTTTCGTCCTCCTGTGTGAGTTTAGGTTCATTGCGTTCAGTCCTTTGACCTTTTATTTATTTGATTAATAGAAACATTATTTATTAGTTATCCCTTCCAAATGTGGGGAATTGTTTGATTCTTAATCCTCCCTGGGTAATAACACCAGTAGTCTAAAAGCGTCTTGTTCAAGCAGTCTCCTGCAGCCATTCAGGGAAAAATGTGTAGTAGAGATGAGAGAGTCTTTTACCATGATCTCATTAAGTCTGTGTTTAAGTCTCACCTGGACTAGTTTGGGTGTGTCTCTGTCTCTCACACAAGTACAGGTCCAACTTGGAAATGTGGAATCTGGTGTGAGGCCAACATTACATAAACACACAATATGGTCTCTGGTCTCTCTCTGGTCTCTCTCTGGTCTCTCTCTGGTGTCTCTCTCTGGTCTCTCCCTGGTCTCTCTCTCTCTGGTCTCTCCCTGGTCTCTCTCTCTGGTGTCTCTCTCTGGTCTCTCCCTGGTCTCTCTCTCTGGTGTCTCTCTCTCTGGTCTCTCTTTGGTCTCTCTCTCTGGTCTCTTTCTGGCCTCTCTCTGGTCCAGTGCATTTATGACAATAAGGTCGACTCAAATGTAATTAACCTCTCACTGATTACAATGAGTGAGAATATGAAAATGAACATGGCAGAATTCAAAGCAGACACACGCACACACACACACACGTTTTTGTTACCTGGTGGGTCCCTTTGACAGGGCCGTTCAGAATGGGACCCATAGACATAATCTTTTTTTACCGGGACTACTTTAAGTAATACAAAACAGTCAATAGAAAACAAACAACTCTTTTAAAGGAATTTTATTTTAGATTTTTTTTTTGAATTGCAGTGATTCTATTTTTGACATAGAATTTAATGCCACTCCATGTCCGATGTCTAAGGTCATCTGGTGAGGCATTAATGCAGGCCAGGCCAGGCCAGGCCAGGCAGTGAGACTTCCCAGGGACTTTTCCAGTCTGTATGAAAGGCGTCATGGTCTTCTCCACAGCCTTCACCTCAGATGCAGACCATGGCTTTCTCTAACGTTCTAGGGAGAGAAATAAAAATATATTAGCAATATACACTCCCAGGGTTAGGACCAAGCAGCCTGGCTGTAATCCCCCACCTGGTACACTTACCAGAAGGGGCACTGCCACTACCATGGGGTGCATCTGGATGAATGGTTGAAGGTTCTCCGCTTGAAGTTTCTTTTAGCCTGTCCGTTTGTGAGAGGATCTCTACTGCTCTCCCTGTCGCACAGAAAATAAAAATACAAGTGGCCTTTAGGGGAAAAAAATTATACATATTTTAATAATAAAGAATTACCTTCAGGCTCAATTTGTATCTGGTCGAGGCTCTTTCCTTTGAATTCCGTCACTCTTCCCTGCTCCATGGCCATCAACACTTTGCTGATTTTGGCCAGCTCCAGCGCCCCCTCTGGTAGTCTGTAATATTGTCTGTGGATGCGAATGTCATGGCCGAGGAAGTTGGCTAGTATGTCCATTTCATTCTCTTTCATATTGAGAACTGTAGACATAGTAGCTATGTGCTTTCTAAGTTTGGTTGAGGATAGCATCTCTGGATGCACCGCACCACATTCTTTGGCTACCTGCCGTAGGGAGTCTGATCCCCTGATGTGGGTGTCTGCGCCCGGGCGGGAGAAGAAGTATGGGTTATGGTCAGAGATGGAACAGGCCCTTCTGTTCTCCACCAGCACCTCCATCGAAGCAATCATTTCAGGAGTCAAAAGAACCGGCACTTTCCAACTTCTTTTCCCTTTAATTTCAATGCGTTGAAAATGCTGACACAGCTTTTTCTCAAGTTGGGACAGTCCCAGAGCAATGTCAGAATGGATCCCAGTCTTACTTCTTAAGGTAAACGCTGTCAGTGGCATCTTTGAAACCTCACCTTCCCTTCTTCGATTGAAAATAATGACCTCACAAAGAGTCAAAACTACCAGTTTAGACCAATGCTTAGACGTTGGCTCACTTATTAGGGTTTGCACATATTCAGGTCGACATACCTCAATATGTGCATGCATGGCTCTAACGTCCTCAGTCAGAGGGAGCAGGTCCGGAGTGTTCCACTTGGCTTGCCGGAGGGTCTGTAGGGCAGCAGAAGAAACACAGACGTCCCACCTCTTCTCAAAAAGCAGCCGGCTTCGTTGGAGGTTTTTAATAAATAGTTCATCAACACAATGCTCCATTTTTGAGTCACATTCAAGAATATCTGCTTTCTGAGGCTATGGCCGAGTTTGAGGGCCAAGGATGGAGTCTTGTATTGATTTGTTTCCTCATCATATCCAGCCACAGACCTGACTGCATCAATCACATGGTTAAAATTGGAAGGAATAAAGAAATCCTTAATTGTTTTCTGTTTCCCTGCAGTTTTTGCTTCGTTAATTAACCTACCGACTTCTCTCATTTTCTGCCTAATGTAATCATGCTTAGTCTTATCATGCCCGTGTTTTAAGTACAGGTGCTCTCCGAGTCTCAGAATCCCCTTTTCTGCTTTGACAACACCCGTGACCTCATCCTGATGCATTGCCCAAATTAAAGACCACAGCTTTTTGCTGATGCCCTCCGGTACAGGCTGGGCTAGGGAGCAGAGGGACTGGACCCTACTTCTACCTGGTTTAGCCTGGGCATCTTTCTGTGAAAGCCGGCACCTGGCCACATGCCTCCACAGCCACTTTCGCTTAAGCAATGCCCCACAGTCTATACAGTGCAAAAACTCACTGGATTTAATTGGAGAATTTGGCTGTTTAGCTGGGACTAAAGTTCCAATGCCGGCCTTTAAAACCTCAAAATTGTGCTCACGGTTTGCACTATTCCTGATCAAATCAAACTGAAGTTTACGTGCTTTAGATTTCACAGGTAGAGCCAATGCTCTGGCTACGTCACTTTCATTTCCATGTTTTCTAGTCAAATGACGGGACATTTTGTGGCAGGACATTGAACAGTAGAGGCAGAAGTGTCTCTTGCTGTAAACTCGCCCCCCATTTTTCTTCTTTTGCAGCTGCATGATAACAATCTTATTTGCCTTTGGTTCGTCACTTTCCGAGTCTTGAAGAAAAGTGTTTTTGATTTTTCTTTTTCCATACTTTTTTAAAGGTTTCTTCTTGACAGTTAAATTGTCAGAATCTGAGTCGACTTCATCAATTAGGGACTCTTGACTAAGCTGCACAAACAACAAATAATTTGTAATAATTCTATATAACAATTTGAAGTCATGACTTGTAGTCAGCACTTACCAGTGGTTTGTAAGCGTGCGCTTCAGTGTGCTGCTCTGTGATTGGCTGCAGCCTAATGAACCACACACTTGCACCTTTTCTAGCCTGACACCTGATTTCCTCTGTTGTGCTGCTCCATGATTGGCTCCAGTCTGCTGGACTGAAATTGCCCCAGTGTGCCCCTCCTTGATATCCCGCAACCCACCACCAGGGTTCCGACACATAACACACTTTTTTCAGGAAAGTAAACCTCCAGGGGTCCTTTCCATATTTTTACAGAGACTGCATAAGGACCGTTAGAAAAGCATTACCCATTGATTATTAAGCTTGGACCAGTGGGGTCCGGTGTTCGGGCCCCACCACGTAAAACCAGTCCCCATGACGTGAGTGGAATCTCAGGTTATGGAACCCACTGGAGTTGAAAACAAGTGCACACACACCTACACACACACACACACACACACACAGCAGTGAGAGACAAGAGAGAGAAACCAGAGAGAGAGAGAGACCAGAGAGAGAGACCAGAGACAGAGACCAGAGAGAGACCAGAGCGAGAGACACCAGTGAGAGACCAGAGAGAGAGAGAGACCAGAGAGAGACCAGAAATCAGTGACAGTCACATGGTGAAGAACATGTTCCAAAAGTAAAGCATGGTAAGTTACAGACATCAGCTTTAGGAGGAGCCAGCAGACACTGTCGCTCAATAACCCGCGCTGTGATTAGCTGTGGCATCGATCTCTCTGTAGTTACATTTTAAACCAATCAGACGCCTTGATCTTATGTGATTTTAATGCTTTTTAATTACATATGTGTTTTTTAATTGTATTTTAATGGTGATGATTTGTGCATTGTGTGGTGTGGACTGTGAGGCGCTTTGTGTTGCCCTGTGCAGGAAAAGCGCCCTATAAATAAAGATTGATTGATTGATTGATTGATTGATCTTCAGAATCCAGACTGACAGCCACAGTCACTCATCGATACCTCAGAGACCACTCACTGACACTTGAGCTGGGGACGGGACTTTAAAGCTGGGGGATGGGACTTTAAAGCTGGGGAAGGGACTTTAAAGCTGGGGGATGGGACTTTAAAGCTGGGGAAGGGACTTTAAAGCTGGGGACGGGACTTTAAAGCTGGGGACGGGACTTTAAAGCTGGGGAAGGGACTTTAAAGCTGGGGGCGGGACTTTAAAGCTGGGGAAGGGACTTTAAAGCTGGGGAAGGGACTTTAAAGCTGGTGGATGGGACTTTAAAGCTGGTGGATGGGACTTTAAAGCTGGGGAAGGGACTTTAAAGCTGGTGGATGGGACTTTAAAGCTGGTGGATGGGACTTTAAAGCTGGTGGATGGGACTTTAAAGCTGGGGAAGGGACTTTAAAGCTGGGGACGGGACTTTAAAGCTGGGGACAGGACTTTAAAGCTGGGGAAGGGACTTTAAAGCTGGGGGATGGGACTTTAAAGCTGGGGACGGGACTTTAAAGCTGGGGACAGGACTTTAAAGCTGGTGGATGGGACTTTAAAGCTGGGGAAGGGACTTTAAAGCTGGGGACGGGACTTTAAAGCTGGGGACAGGACTTTAAAGCTGGGGAAGGGACTTTAAAGCTGGGGGATGGGACTTTAAAGCTGGGGACGGGACTTTGAAGCTGGGGACGGGACTTTAAAGCTGGGGTACAGAAGTTTCAGACCATACTAATAGAACTCTGTAATAAAAATATACAAGGGTCTAAAACAGGTCTCTGGTCTCTCTGGTCTCTCTTTCTGGTCTCTCTCCCTGGTCTCTCTCCTACGTCTCGCTCCCTGGTCTCTCTCTCTGGTCTCTCTCTGGTCTCTCTCTGGTCTCTCTCGCTGGTCTCTCTCCTACGTCTCGCTCCCTGGTCTCTCTCTCTGGTCTCTCTCTGGTCTCTCTCTGGTCTCTCTCTGGTCTCTCTCTGGTCTCTCTCGCTGGTCTCTCTCCCTGGTCTCTCTCCCTGGTCTCTCTCTGGTCTCTCTCTGGTCTCTCTCCCTGGTCTCTCTCCTACGTCTCGCTCCCTGGTCTCTCTCTCTGGTCTCTCTCTGGTCTCTCTCTGGTCTCTCTCTGGTCTCTCTCCCTGGTCTCTCTCGCTGGTCTCTCTCCCTGGTCTCTCTCCCTGGTCTCTCTCCCTGGTCTCTCTCCCTGGTCTCTCTCCCTGGTCTCTCTCCCTGGTCTCTCTCGCTGGTCTCTCTCCCTGGTCTCTCTCCCTGGTCTCTCTCCCTGGTCTCTCTCTGGTCTCTCTCTCTGGTCTCACTCTGGTCTCTCTCTGGTCTCTCTCTGGTCTCTCTCTGGTCTCTCACTGGTCTCTCACTGGTCCAGTGTAATTATGACAATAACAAAGCAGACTCAAATGTAGGTCTAGGTCCTGGTCCTTGGTCTTGTTTTCACATCATGTGTCTCTGTCACATCAGCTTTTTCCAACGTGACAATCGGCCAATCAGCTCTCAGCCCAAAGGCTCAGATAGTGACTCACACGGACCTCAGCTTTAATGTGTGAAAACATACCATGGACATTTGACCCACTAGAGGGCGCCAAAGCACTCCTCACTGAAGTTCATCTGGTTCAGTGTCAGAGTCAAGTTCTGTGTTTGTGTAGAGGGAGAAGAGGAGGAGTGGGGGAAGGGGGAGACGGGGGGGACGGGAGGGGACAGTAGGGGATGGGGGGACACGAGGGGGAGGCCTGAGTACGTGTATGTGTTATATTTCCTCATGTTTAAGTTGGATTGTTCAGTGCATTTGTGTAGGAGGGAAATGAGAGAGTACAGAGAACAGGGAGAAGTGGAGAGGGTGGGGGGAGAGAGACGTTGGGGGGGGGGGGGTAGGGAGGAGTGTTTCCTCTGCTGCTTCCTCAACAACATTCACTTCATTAAAGTGTTGATAAAGTCTTCAAACATGACGTCATCAGCTCTGAGGAATGTCTTTAAAGCTGGGGTCTGTAACTTTTGATTAGACCTGAAGTCTGTAACTTCTGTCGCCGGACTAACCTTCGCACAGATGTGAATATTCGTGCAGACATTTGTCACCTTTGACTTTGCTTTGCAGGGTCCGGTGTGATCACCTCATTAGAGCCTCCTGCACCAGCAACCCAGAGAGAGAGACCAGAGAGACCAGAGAGAGACCAGAGGGAGACCAGAGGGAGACCAGAGAGAGACCAGAGACCAGAGAGAGACCAGAGAGAGACCAGAGAGAGACCAGAGAGTGACCAGAGAGAGACCAGAGAGAGACTAGAGAGAGACCAGAGAGAGACCAGAGAGAGACCAGAGAGAGACCAGAGAGAGACTAGAGAGAGACCAGATCAAGACTAGAGAGAGACCAGAGAGAGACCAGAGAGAGACCAGAGAGAGACCAGATCAAGACTAGAGAGAGACCAGAGAGAGACCAGAGAGAGACCAGAGAGAGACTAGAGAGAGACTAGAGAGAGACCAGAGAGAGACCAGAGAGTGACTAGAGAGAGACCAGAGAGTGACCAGAGAGTGACCAGAGAGAGACCAGATCAAGACTAGAGAGAGACCAGAGAGAGACCAGAGAGAGACCAGAGAGAGACTAGAGAGAGACCAGAGAGAGACCAGAGAGAGACCAGAGAGAGACCAGAGAGAGACCAGAGAGAGACCAGAGAGAGACCAGAGAGAGACCAGAGAGGGACCAGAGAGTGACCAGAGAGAGACCAGATCAAGACTAGAGAGAGACCGGAGACCAGAGAGAGAAACCAGAGAGACCAGAGAGAGAGACCAGAGAGAGAGGCCAGAGAGCGAAACCAGAGAGAAACCAGAGAGAGACCAGAGAGAGACCAGAGAGAGACTAGAGAGAGACCAGAAAGAGAGGCAAGAGACCAGAGAGAGACCATAGAGAGAGGCCAGAGACCAGAGAGAGAAGCCAGAGGAAGACGCCAGAGATAGAGACGAGAGAGAGGGACCATAGTGAGAAACCAGAGAGGCCAGAGAGAAAGACAAGAGAAAGAAAGACCAGAGAGAGAAAGACTAGAGAGAGAAAGACCAGCGAGAGAAACCAGAGAAAGATGCCAGAGAGAGAGACCAGAGAGAGAAGACAGAGAGAGATGCCAGAGAGCGAGACCAGAGGGAGAAACCAGAGAAAGAAAGGCCAGAGAGAGAAAGACCAGAGAGAGAAAGACCAGAGAGAGAAAGACCAGAGAGAGACCAGAGAGAGACCAGAGTCATATGGTCAAGAACATGTCCTGTTCCAAAAGTAAAGCAGTGTAAGTTTCAGACATCGGCTTTAGGAGGACCTTGCAGACACTGGAGCCTTCTAATAATAATAATAATGCGTTGGTTTTATAAAGCGCTTTCTGGACACTCAAAGACGCTTCACATCATTATTCTTTCACTCCATACACGGTGCTGATAAACTACTGTAGCCACAGCTGCCCTGGGGCACACAGACAGAAGCAAGGCAGCCAGTCTGTGCCATTGGCCCCTCCCACCACCACCAACCATTCACACACACACACACACACTAGACTAGACTCATTCAAATGTGGGGGAAGTGTCTTGCCAATGGACACAACAGCAGGTTGGCACTTTACAGCCACAGCCACCCCACTTTGGCACCTGGTGTTCCCAGAGGTTAAGAGTCTTGCCCAAGGACACAACAACAGCAGACATCAGTGGGAGTCGGTGGAGAAGGGTTTGTGTTAGGCTCAAACCCACGACCTTCAGGCTCCAAGGCCAATGCTCTACAAACAGAGCCCCTGTCGCCTTCTGGGATTTAGCAGCGAGTACCGTGCGCAGGTCAGGTCCAGCGCTGCTCCTGATTGGCTGTTGGTAACTCGGTCGTTGCTATCCACTTATACTTTGTACATTTGGCTTCACTTTCCTGCTCAAAAATCCTGCTGGAGTTGGCTCTGATCCTACATTTGACACATGGTTAGAGATCCCTGCACAGAGGCACCAGCACTGAGCTGTGGGGCTGTGGGGTCCCTCAGGGGTCAGGACTGGGACCTACAGGACCTTGTGGTTTATAGAGTTTGTTCTGGTCCCTTCCTTCAGAGGCCAACGACACACATTCACCCTGGAGACTTTCAGAGTCGAGAGATGTCCGTGGAAACAAACAGGTTGGTATAATATTTACCATTGAACTCTTTACTCGACTCGACTAGAGCAGAGTAACCATGTGGTCTGAGCAGTTGAAGCTGCATGTTGAGGTCTGTCTCTCTCTCGTCCTTCACAGAGGAAGAACACACTGCGCACTTCATTCATTTGTCATATTTAGTTTCTTTCACTGCAAAGGGAGAGGAGGAGGGAGGAGGGAGGGGTGGTAGGAAGAACACAGCGGGCTGCAAGGACGAGCACACAACAGCGAGAAGAAGTCCAAACACTGTGTGCACCGGAGGAAGGTGGGGAGGGGGGAGAGAGAGGGAGAGAGGGAGGGAGGGAGAGAGGGAGGGAGAGAGAGAGAGGAGCTGTCGTGAACAGTCCAAGCCTCCAGTCCTTGATCGTGAGGAGAGAGAGCAGTCACTAAGCGTCTGATAAAAAACCTCACACAGAGCACACTGCAGCGGGGTCTGAGCGGAGCCTTCAGGGAGCCTCCAGAGCCCTCCTCCTCTGGGTCCTGTCTCCCACCTCCTCCTCTCTCCCTCCTCTGTCCTCACAGTCCTCCTCCTCTCTCAGACCCTCTTGTCTCCTGTGAGCGTCTGGGACCATGGCGAGCTCCACAGACCTGAACTATAACCTGTCCCTGGGGAACCTGTCCCTGGGGAACCTGTCCCTGGGGAACCTGTCCCTGGGGAACCAGTCCCTGGGGAACCAGTCCCTGGGGAACCAGTCCCTGGAGGACCAGGAGGAGGACCTGGAGGTGTACACAGATGTGTATTCCAAAGCTGTGGTGAGCGTCCTGTACCTGCTGCTCTTCCTGGTAGGTGTGTTTGGAAACTGCTTCACCTTGTGGAGCCTCTGGTCTCGTCGTGGTCTTCAGAACCTGCAGAGCACAGTGCACTACCATCTGGGCAGCCTGGCGGTGTCTGACCTGCTGATGCTGGTACTGTCCATGCCTCTGGAGCTGCACAGCTTCATCTGGTACCAGCACCCATGGTTGTTCGGAGACGCCGTGTGCAAAGGATACTACTTCCTGCGCGACAGCTGTACGTACGCCACGGCGCTGAACATCGGCAGCCTGAGCGTCGAGCGCTACATGGCGGTCTGCCACCCGTTCAAGAACAAGACTGTGATGTCACACAGCCGCACACGCAGGCTCATCAGCGCCCTCTGGCTCTCGGCAATGGCTCTGGCTGCTCCTATGCTGCTGGTGATGGGACAAGAGACACGCAGCGGAGAGAAGGTGTGCACGCCAACGGTCTCCATGGCAACGCTGAAGACGGTGCTGCAGGTACCACACCCCAGCTTTAAAGTTACAGACCTGAGCTTTAAACACCTGTTATTGATTAGACTAAAGTTACAGACCCCAGTTTTAATCATCTGTTATTTATGAGACTAAAGTTACATCTTTCTTTGTTGTTTCGCTGCAGCTCCACCAAAACAAACATTCTTTCACACATAGTTCCCACAGAACGTAGACGCCGCTCCATAGACCTGCTCAGGGGAGTTCATGCAAAGTGGCCCAGGAATTTGGAATGACTGCAGTAGCTTTTTATCAAGAATTATGGACAGCATAACCATCAGAGAGACTTGGAGACCAGAGAGAAATAAAATATAGACCAGAAGGACCAGAAAGAGACCAGAGAGAGATCAAAGAGAGACCAGAGAGAGACCAGAGAGAGACCAGAGAGAGACCAAACAGGGACCAGAGGGACCAGAGAGAGACCAGAGAGGGACCAGAGAGAGACCAGAGAGGGACCAGAGAGAGACCAGAGAGAGACCAGAGAGACCAGAGAGAGAGACCAGAGAGAGACCAGAGAGAGACCAGAGAGACAGACAAAACAGGGACAAGAGAGCCCAGAGAGGGACCAAAGAGAGACCAGAGGGGGACCATAGAGAGACCAGAGAGGGACCAAAGAGAAACCAGAGGGGGACCAGAGAGAGACCAGAGAGAGAGACCAGTGTGAGAGTCTCCATCTGTCATTGAGACGTGTTCACAGCAGATTTTATTCTTTCATAAATAAACAAGAGCTCAGTGTTTACATCAGTGACTCTGGGAACGACCAAGTATAACTCTCTACGTGTTTGTTTGAAGTTATTATCTGGTCTCTCTCAGGTCTCTCTCAGGTCTCTGGTTCATCTCTCCGGTCTCTCTCTGATCTTTCTCTCTCTGGTCTCTCTCAGGTCTCTGGTTCATGTCTCCGGTCTCTCTCTGATCTTTCTCTCTCTGGTCTCTCTCTCCCCGGGCTCTCTCTGGTCTTTCTCTCGTCTTTCACTGGTCTCTCTCTGGTCTCTTTCTGGTCTCTCTCTCTCCCTGGTCTCTCTCTCTGGTCTCTCTCTCTTCGGGCTCTCACCGGTCTCTCTCCGGTCTCGCTCCGGTCTCGCTCCGGTCTCTCTCTGGTCTCTCTCTGGTCTTTCTCTCTGGTCTCTCTCTCCGGTCTCTCTCTCCGGTCTCGCTCCGGTCTCGCTCCGGTCTCAGATTCAGATTCAGATTCAGTTTATTTGCCATTTGCAGTAAAAAAAACACATTGGAATACATTAGCAAAAAGTCACCAGTGTGCACAGACAAATACAGACATAAAACAACATTAAAAGTACATTAAAAGCTCCGGTCTCTCTCTAGTCTCTCTCTCTCTCTCTCTGGTCTCTCTCTCTCCGGTCTCGCTCCGGTCTCACTCTGGTCTCTCTCTCTCTCTGGTCTTTCTCTCTCTGGTCTCTCTCTCTCCGTTCACTCTCCGGTCTCTCTCTCTCCGGTCTCGCACACACACACAGACTCACACAGACACACACACACACAGACTCACACACACACAGACTCACACACACACACACACAGACTCACACACACACACATTGGCCTTTCACAATAACACATTTTGCTGGACAATAAATTGGTTCAGAAATTATTGCGATAAGAGATAATATTGTTGTTCTGAGGGTGCACCTTTTTAAAACTTTAATTTTGAAGAATATTTTACACTAGGGCACAATAAATGAACAACAAACAACCAAAACCAATAAATAAAAGAGACTCTCAGTCTCTGTTAACAAAAAAATAACTGAAAAAACTCCCACAAATCGTTTTAGAAATAATTCACGACAGTAGTGACTGACATGAGGGTTCACTTATCGTTAATGGGGCGTTCAGACCGCAGGCCTGCGGTGGCGCCCCCGCCGGAAGTGGCGGACGTAGCGGGCGGACTTTGATGCTAACGGAGTTAAGCTAGCAGCTTTTTGTGTAAAGATCTTCTCCAATAATGCAGCTCTGCAGCGTCTCTGTCAGAGACCTTCATAGACTTTATATACTGTAACAGCAGTATGTGTTCACGGAGGTGACTTTATATAACAGCAGTATGTGTTCACGGAGGTGACTTTATATAACAGCAGTATGTGTTCACTGAGGTGACTTTATATAACAGTAGTATGTGTTCACGGAGGTGACTTTATATAACAGCAGTATGTGTTCCCGGAGGTAACTTTATATAACAGTAGTATGTGTTCACGGAGGTGACTTTATATAACAGCAGTATGTGTTCACGGTGACTTTATATAACAGCAGTATGTGTTCACGGAGGTGACTTTATATAACAGCAGTATGTGTTCACAGAGGTGACTTTATATAACAGCAGTATGTGTTCACGGTGACTTTATATAACAGCAGTATGTGTTCACGGAGGTGACTTTATATAACAGCAGTATGTGTTCACGGTGGTGACTTTATATAACAGCAGTATGTGTTCACGGAGGTGACTTTATATAACAGCAGTATGTGTTCACGGAGGTGACTTTATATAACAGCAGTATGTGTTCACGGAGGTGACTTTATATAACAGCAGTATGTGTTCACGGTGACTTTATATAACAGCAGTATGTGTTCACGGAGGTGACTTTATATAACAGCAGTATGTGTTCACGGTGGTGACTTTATATAACAGCAGTATGTGTTCACGGAGGTGACTTTATATAACAGCAGTATGTGTTCACGGAGGTGACTTTATATAACAGCAGTATGTGTTCACGGAGGTGACTTTATATAACAGCAGTATGTGTTCACGGTGACTTTATATAACAGCAGTATGTGTTCACGGAGGTGACTTTATATAACAGCAGTGTGTGTTCACGGTGACTTTATATAACAGCAGTATGTGTTCACGGAGGTGACTTTATATAACAGCAGTATGTGTTCACGGTGGTGACTTTATATAACAGCAGTATGTGTTCACGGTGACTTTATATAACAGCAGTATGTGTTCACGGAGGTGACTTTATATAACAGCAGTATGTGTTCACGGAGGTTCGCCATCAGTTCATTTCATTATTAAACGGTGTTTCCGATGTGCTAGTTTAGTCACTAGAGTGTGAGAACTCAGAATGGCATTTCATCCTGGAGAGACCCACAACGGGGAATGCAATTAGAAGTTTATTTGATTGAGCATGTTTGGCGCCCTAGGCCCCGGAACGATGATGTTGAGCGCGGCGCTTGCTCGCGCTCATAATCCCCCCCCAGGGCCTAGGCACTGGTGGCGGCAGAGGCAGCAGGCAAGCACGCTCGAAATGGATGCAAAGCTTGAGAAGGCCGGGAATTGGGCGTCTCCGGCTTTTAACTTGCTGGCCTGGCGGTTATTGGTTGACTGGAAGTGGGTGTTGCTGTGCGATGAGCCGAGGATGAGAGCAGTCCTGGAGGAGCTGGGCAGCAGGCCAGGTCTACCAGGGTGAACTTACGCAGGCTTCATTATGTTCACAAGCACTGTGTCCCCCATTGTCAATCCTGGCTTAGTCCTGGCTTAGTCCTGGTTTAGTCCTGGCTTAGTCCTGGTTTAGTTCTGGCTTAGCCCTGGTTTAGTCCTGGTTTAGTCCTGGGTTAGCTCCTGTTTTGGCTGTATTTTGTATTTTTGAGTATTTTCAGTCTGCACACTAGACCGCTAATGTCACCGTGACCACTTTGTGGCTCTCTGACCCGAGAGAGAGAGACGAGGAAAACAAACAAGCTGCAAATGGAATTTTTCGCGGCCAGAAAAATTATCGAGCTATTTTAATTATTATGCTACTGATTGATTAATAGGCGACAGGAGCTCAGTTGGTAGAGCATTGGCTTTTGGGCCGGAAGGTTGTGGGTTCAAGCCCACCACCGGACCTACTCCAACTGCTCCCAATAATGTCTGCTGTCGTTGTGTCCTTTGGCAAGATGCTCAACCCCACGTTGCCTGAAGCTCCCGCTGAAGCACCAAGGCTGTGGCACCACTGACGGAGCAGCCGTCCTCCTGTGGACCCACCCCCTGCAGAGGATCAGAGGGACTGGTGCTGCCCGACCCAGAAATGGACTAATACAGGGGTTGAAAATGAATGAATAATTGATTTATTGAATATCGCGACAGGCCTAACACACACACACACACACACATACACACACACACACACACACATACACACGCATACACACACACACACATACACACACACACACACACACATACACACACACATACACACACACACACACACACACACACACACACACACGCACTCACACATACACGTTTTTGTTACCTGGTGGGTCCCTTTGACAGGGCCGTTCAGAATGGGACCCATAGACATAATCTTTTTTTACCAAGACTTTAAGTAATACAAAACAGTCAATAGAAACCAAACAACTATTTTAAAGGAATTTTATTTTAGATTTTGTTTTCGAATTGCAGTGATTCTATTTTTGACATAGAATTTAATGCCACTCCATGTCCGATGTCTAAGGTCATCTGGTGAGGCATTAATGCAGGCCAGGCAGTGAGACTTCCCAGGGACCTTTCCAGTCTGTATGAAAGGTGTCATGGTCTTCTCCACAGCCTTCACCTCAGATGCAGACCATGGCTTTCTTACACGTTCTAGGGAGAGAAATAAAAATATATTAGCAATATACACTCCCAGGGTGAGGACCAAGCAGCCTGGCTGTAATCCCCCACCTGGTACACTTACCAGAAGGGGCACTGCCACTACCATGGGGTGCATCTGGATGAATGGTTGAAGGTTCTCCGCTTGAAGTTTCTTTTAGCCCGTCCGTTTGTGAGAGGATCTCTACTGCTCTCCCTGTCGCACAGAAAATAAAAATACAAGTGGCCTTTAGGGGAAAAAAATCATACATATTTTAATAATATCAAGAATTACCTTCAGGCTCAATTTGTATCTGGTCGAGGCTCTTTCCTTCGAATTCCGTCACTCTTCCCTGCTCCATGGCCATCAACACTTTGCTGATTTTGGCCAGCTCCAGTGTCCCCTCTGGTAGTCTGTAATATTGCC